CAGCTCCTTGCGGTTCATGCCTTACACAAGGTTTCAGGCGCATCACAGGGAGTGACGCTGGTGTTCAGGGTCAATTTGCTGTTCCCGCGGGGGATTCATCGCTGTTTTATGTTCACTGTACTGGAAGGCGTAGACGGCGCTGCTCGTCGTCATCACACACCACACATGTCTGCAGCTTGTGAGTGCGGAGGCCGTGCTGCGCATGGACTGTTCAGCTCTTTAGCAGGGAACGGAGCTTGTCGGCGGTAGTGTGGCTTCCTCTGCAGCCGCGGGGGTCTTCCTTTTGTGGACGCATACATCTGCCGCAACATCATCGTTGCGCAGGCATAGGGCTGCGCACTACCTCTGGCGACTATATTTTAAGTCGCTGGTACGTGGGAGACGCACTCAGGGCCACAGCCCCTGTATAAACTTCTGTCTCTACCGTAAGATCGCTGACGTGTGGGGCGGCCCACCCCAGCAAGCCCGCCTCCTGAAACGCTTTCGCGAGAGTGATGTAACCGGTGCCGCAACCCCTACTGAGAGCAAGGAGCTCCTGTTTCTCGAATAGCTCACATACGTGCATATACGGCATCGGGACACCTCCGTCGTCGGAGTTGACGAACGAGTCCCTGCTTAGCAGGAGTATGAACGTTTGCATGATTCTGCTGGCCAACACAGGTGCCTAGGAAGCTCGAGGGACAAATGTAGAGATCGGAACGTTCAGTGATAACATCCACCACGGCAGGCGGTGTCTGCCTTCGTGCCAGCTATCAAGTCCGCCGTGTACTGCGGCGCAGCCAAGGGCTGTGTACGCGGCGTACTCTCTCCTGGTTGTTCTCAAGATCATAGGGCGAGTAACCCATATCGCCAACCTTCGAGCTCTCCTTGTCATCCTCGCAGCGCGCCTCGTATGCCGGCAACCCTGTGTGAAGCACGAGGGGTTGGTGTTTCAAAGGCTCCCGTTCCGTCATGTTCTCCCCTCCGCACCTTCTGCCTCAACACACAGTCGGCACACCGTCCCGTTTCCATTACGCTTGGCCTATGCCAGCGGAAGACAGCTTAGGCCAGTCTGGCCGTGCATGTTAGTGTCTGGTCCTCGCGTTGCAGGTTCCGCGTCCGTGCCGGTCCCATATCTGCACCACCAGCGCCAGCACACGAAACGTGCACACTAGTGCAGATTCCTCGCCAGAAGCAGCAGATACGCATGGCCTCCGGGAGGCGGTCCCGTGCACTGCACAGCTCTGATACCACCGCTGACGCAACTGGTGCGCCAGCTAGGAAGTCGACCCTGTATAGCTACTTCTTCCAGAATAGTAAAGCCGTGTCGCCCCGCTGCAAGATCGATTCCCCTCATTCCTGCTCTAGGCTGATCTTCGCCTCCGCTGCGGAGTTCAATCACCGCCTCAGCGCGTCCCGCGCATAGTCTCAGGCACTCCCTTTGCCCGCGTGAAGCCCGTGCCCATCACCGAATCCCTCCGTGAAGGCTACACGCCCGATCTCCCCAGTATCTGTTTTTATGCAATCCCGCCGGGCTGCCTGTAGGAGAGTACACAGCTTCGGAAAGCCCGTGGGGCGCTTTTTCTTCTAGCTATGCTCACGCGCCCTTTCTCACAGCTCTGTGATGTTGCACGAACGCTGAAGACTGAATGACGCACGCTGAGCGGTAGGACACAACGGAAGCCTACCCCCGTACATATCGAATCGAGCAGCCTTTGTTGGCGCTTCGGGCTACATTCCTGAATACTCAACCCGTAGTCTGCGCTTGGCCCTCCGAGGGACTCACCTTCCACGCCTGGTTTCGTGACACAGACGACAGCGTCTCAAATCCAAATGACAGTCAGCGGAACTCAATGACATATAAGCCCGGAGTGGGCTTGCAGAGACGTCGTTTGCGATCCACAGATTCAGCTCCTCCTCGGCAGAGCCCACGTGGATACTCTGTTGCCGTCGTTACTCCCAAAGGCGCGAGATCATGTGACTCGTCGCTGCTTGATAACTTTGTGTGCTGTGCGAGCCGCTGATGCCACGCCGAGGAGACAGCAGCTGCGCATCCAGCATGCTTGCTCATCGTATTCCGCGTGTCTGAAACTCTTTCTGCGTAGGCTACGGATCCTGCAGGAGCAAGCATCTCACCTGACTCCTGCAGTAGTCGTCTGGAATGTCATCGCCCTTGCCAGCACTGGACCGAAGGATGCTCAGGCGACACCTTCTCCCGACAGCTGACGATGTTAAGCAGTCATCGCGGGAGGCCAACTGACGGCGGCAGGCCTCGGCCCTGACTTGAGCAACAGCTCCACGAAATTCGGAGCCAGCAGCCTGACGTAGAGAGCCCTGCGACGCACCTTAGCGTCTGTACGATGTGTAGCACGCATCAGCACGAGAGCATCGTCTTTCAGCCCTTTGCGAAGACCCATGGGAATACGAGCTCCACGTGCATCCGCACCACCACAGATAGCCGCTGACAAGTGTCCGCCTACAGCCTGTGAGTCATTAGACAATAGAAGTCCTTCTGTGTCTCTCGAGTATTCCTTGGTTTCTCAACATTTCACTATAAAAGAGACAAAAAGCATTCAGGTTGAGGGTAGAAGACCCTGTGAACAGCTGCGTTATTGTGTCGGCGGCCTAGAAATCTTCTCAAGTGTCGCATGCGTAGCACGCAATTTCTCACCGCCTGTTCCACGTCGTTGGTGCACGGTTTCCAGCAGAGACGAGCGAAGGCGTCGTCCGGCTTTCCACAGCGTCAGAAATCCCCCTGTTTACGCTAGTCTGATACCGCATGCGAGAGAAGGAGCACGACGTTGGAAATGGAGGAATGAAACCTGCAAGTTTCCTCGAATAGTGGCCATAAGAAGATTGTCGACGATCGGGGGCTTACAGTGCGCGTGCTCAGCACCGCAGTATTCCTCGCACTTGCTAGATGCTTCTACGCTTCTGAGGCTCCCATGCTTCTGTTGCATGGAGAAGTGAGAATGGCATGGCCGCGCACCAACTACACTATAAAAAAACTGGAACTCGGATGCCTATCGCAGAGCAAGAACATGCCTCATTATGCGCAGTCAGGGGGGATGCTTCACCGTACTGAGGCTGTTTAAGCGATGTGGGCACAAATCCTTCTCTGCGCAGATGCACCGCCAGCCACAGACACTTCCATTCGAAGCCCGCTCAAGGGCTTTGTACAGTCGGAAGCTAGCCATCATTGCATCACCCCCTTCGCCCTTCAAGCGAGCATAGCCTCGTTCTCCCCGATCAAGGCGACCGTGCGCGCTTTTCGTCCGCAGCATTGCACTAAAACGAGATCGACAACCGGAGCGAGCTCGTCCTTCAGCGGCGACGGCTCGCTCGGACATCGCGTGAAGTCGAATGCGGCGTGGCTACGCGATGACAAGAGGGTCTTTTCGGTAGCATTCCCCGTCCTCTTGTGTGCTCGACCGCTCCCCAGCATACGCTTGAATTGCGGACGCATGCTGTCCTGCACGGCAGTACGTTCGCGCAGGGGAACCAGAGGTCGCACCGTCAATCGCGCTTTCCACTCTGGGACTCGGGACCGCGCCTTTTTCCAGTAAACCTAAAGCACTCTCATGGTGTACAGCCGCGCGGTCACGGCATTTGCAGACGCGCCCGCGTTGCTTCTTATCAGGGTGCTCTATTGGTTCTTCGGTTGCGCCTACCCGCTTAAAGCCCAATGCCATCGTTTTCGTTCGGCCAGTCAGTCGTGCGCCGTCCATTCAGCACATGTGCACGGCGTGTACGGCCACTCAGCGAGCAAGTTGCCTACTTGTTCACGTGATTCGTCGTCAAATGGTTATCTCCCCTTCGCATGTACTTACGATCTTAACGGTCGGTACCACGTCTTCCTCTCAATTTCCTCAATGCTCTTGTACGCGGTGCGCAGTCACTCTGTTATCGTACCTGCGCAAGGTTCAACAATGTCCCTCGTCGGAAACTGCACCCAGCAACTTCTGCTAATTGATGCCTTATACAACTCTGCAGGCGCACTCAATCGCCTGCTGCCGATCCGCAGCGTTGCTTTGCAGTCCTCCTTCGTTCATCGCTGCGCACGTCTCCGAGGCGGTAGGGCGTAGACAATAATGCTCGTCGTCATCGGCGGCACGTATCTCTGCCGTCTTTGAGTGACGAGGCAAGATTGCAAATTTTCGACAGCGCTCCTTGAGAATTCTCCGGAGACGTGTGCCGCCCTGCTTATTTTCACTATGCGCACGTGGGCGTCCGCACCGCGAAACCGTTGCTGCGCTGGCAGATGGCAAGCCACTACCCCCCCCAACCGTCCTCCAGGACGCTGGAGGGGTAGGAACGCAAATAATGCAGCTTCCTTCTTTAAGCCACACGGGGCTCATGTGCAAGCCTTCCGGCTCTCCCTCACTAACGAAGGTTTCCATCGTGGGAACGCTGCCGCGCTGACAGAGGGAAGCCAACTGCACGCACTATGTAACTCTCAGGATACTGCAGTGAGAATGATGCGACTCACCTTCACAGATCGCACTGCTCCGCTTTCGCGATCAATGCCTGCGCAACCTGATGCAGGAAATTAGGCCGCCAGCAACGGCGGAGGCGGAGGACTAACTCCTGCGCCAGCACCGAACCTCCAATTCATATTGGCGGGCAGAAGAGCCGGCTTCACAGCTGAGGAGGCAGGCACGCAGATTGGAAGGCCGAGTCGTGACATAAAGGGCACTAGGGAGCCCTCGCCTCCTTCTCAGCTACCCGACCGCCCCGCAGTGTGACACAGCCAAAGACGGCGACTATTCAAAAGCGCGGCGTACCCTCTCCTGCTGGAACAACAAGACGAGAATGCGGAAACATGGTGTCGCAACGCTTGTAGGCGTATATAGTAGCCAGTGATTGGACCTGGTAGACACAGACCCCCATATGAGCTAAGGCAGATAGTACCCCTCAACGCCTGACATATTCTCTGCGCTGCACATCTCCTTCTTGCGCACTTTCTGCATTCGGACTCGCCCCTCACCAAGTATTCCCCGTGCCATTCGTCGACACCATAGGCGACCCGCGCTCTACACGTAATCTGGTCCACGTGGTGGACGGTCCCCGTCCACAGCCCATCCAGTATCTGCACCGCCGGTGCCGACAAGCTGCACCTAATGACTACTTGACAGTCTCGCCGGCGTCTTTAAGACGATACCTTTCCTTTCTTCGTAACGAGGGTCGTCTACATGAGGATCTTCGGCGCTCGGCTATGCAGACCGTGGATGGACGACGTGCACAGCGGGTCTTGAGAGCGGTACAGAGACGACAAGCACCTGGTACAACTCCATAAGAACGGCCCTCTTTGATGTGCTCACCTCCTCCTAAAGGTCGCACACCCACAAAAGGACGTATCCGGTGGTAATGACTTTTACAGTGCAATTGATGTCGACACCCCGGAGAAGCGATGCGGCAAAGCCAACAAACAATCACGACGGCCAGTGCGCGGCTGTCAGCGTTGTGGCCGGTCGTTGTCACGCTTGACCTATCATCCACTAAGCAGCTCCGGAAGCGTAAACTGAAACCATGTTACCACGCCGTCTAAAGCCGCTTTAAATCTCGCTCGATTCTCCTGGGTATAGTCTTCCGCCACTGCTGCAGTGTTCCGCTACCTACGCTCCCATCTCTACCGGTGATCCGAAAGCATGCAATCCGCCTTGAGCAACCCCCTCTTCATAGCTTGAAGCAATCAATACGCACACAGATCTCGAACTCTCAGTTGTCGTCCTTGAGCGCTCTCGTCCGCTCAGGCGCAGAAGTTTTCAGCCTTCTCCAAGAACAATGTAGGCGCTCGTTCTTCGAGATATACCTCCTTCTCCCGGCGACAGCCTCTTTCTCATGCAGTAGAGAGGGCGCCACGAAAGAAACATTATGAGAGCTAACAACAATACTCGCGTTACGCGTTGGAGCCGCCACGTAGCGTGCACTAACAGTAGAATCGGCAAGGATCTCCGAAAGGCCACCTCCGGCATTCATGCTTTCGACAGGCTCAGCGAGAAAGCGTTGTAATTCGTCAACTTCCGAGGGTCTCTAACACGTCGATCTGCAAGCACCCAATAATTGGCGCGCATGTCCTGACGAACTGCTATCGACACAGCACCTGGCTGCATGCAAAACTGGGGCTGTGTAAGTGGCGCATCCGCTTATTTGCACGCGGGGTTTTATTCGACCCAAAGGTCGCTCGAGAAGTGGAACACGTGCGTCAGCGTCGTAGCTTCTGCCGTGTCACCCGCTATCATTCGTTCGCGCACTTCTACGAAAGCAGAACAGCATGTATTCCGTGTCTCGCGCGGCTGTCCAAAAGAGCCCTCCTGTTGGATTTGCAGCTAGTATCCCGGTTTTATCAAACCGAGTGAGAGCCACAGTAGATCAGCCTAAGCGGGCGAGGCGGTCGGCGGTGGAGACGAGATTGTAAAAAGCGCCGGGATGAAGCGCACGGCAAGCAAACATCCAGCCTGAAGGTCAGTTACTGCAGTGACGAGCCTCCACATGCATACTGAGCCTCCAAATGCCAACTGGCTCGGCGGCTGCTTCTCGCCATCCTCCCGCAATAGACGCATTCTGGGATGGAGGGAGACTTAGAATGATTGCATCAGCATGCGACCCTGCTTCATTATGCACCGCCACGCGTCGCACTCAAGCGAACAGAGGCGGGTCAAGTGACGCCGGCCCAGCGGATCTTGTCCGCAGGCGTCCACCGCCGGCTGCAAACGCCTCCGATGCCTAGCCGGCTGGCCGTGTCCTTCAAGCCCCCACTTCGAGCTAGCCCCGCCACATCGAGGCACGCGCGTCTCTCAAATGCGGCGGATCGCGCCCGACGCGTGTAAGTTCGCTTGCCGTCTCCAGCGATGGAGAGAGCATCCGCTTCTACTGAGCATTCTGCCATCTTCCGCACACGCAGCGGTTGTCAAACTACAGAAATAGTGGACACACAAGGCTCTCGTGCCTCAAACTACGCTCGTGCAGGGAGAAGCCGCGATCCACGCCTTCGTGTCCGCTTACCCGCTCAACACTCAGTACCATGCCATTCTCTCTATTCACGTGAGGATCGTGCAAGGTGTCCAGCGGCGTGCACAGGGAATCTAAAGCCCACGCACACTATTCTTGGCGAGAGTCTTGTGTATTTGCTTGGATTGTGCTTACCCGCTTGATATGCGGTGCCACGCATTCCCCTCCACTTGACCCAAGCATGCGCACGAGGAATACAGCCACTAGGTCAGGAAACCTGACTACGTTGTCACATTCCTCATCGTCAGCACAGTGTGTGCTGCGGCTACGGCCGAGAGAGGGATCCCTTGCTTCCGCTAATGTCTAGATGCGCGGCTCTCGCCGACGTTGCTCCGCGCCAGTGAGCACGCAGCCGCCTTGCGTCGGCCTCCTGCGCTAGTCTCGCGAACGCCACGCTGCTTACATCTACGAGGCTGAAGGTCGCAGACAACCGTGCTCGTCTCTATCATGCCGGGCGCTTCCAAGAGCCGTGGAAGGGCTATGCACACATGCTACGCTCGCTCTGCACAACAGTGCGCCGACAGCCTCGGCACCGACGCTTGCGCGGCCTCCGTGTTCTCCCGCTGACGTGCGTAGGTCTCTGCGGTGAAGCCGTTCGCATTGCTACGGCTGGCAGCCCGCTTCTTCCGGAACTTTTTCTCGTGCTACCTGTGGGGTGAAGGCTAAGCTGATGGAACCGACTGGAGGCAACTAGTGCCTCGCCCCCTGCGAAGACGCACAGATCCCTGTGCGGCCCTCTTTTTCCCCATCTGGACGACAGCTTTCGCCGCGAGCTTGTTGCCCTGGTGGAAGATGGTGGTCCACCCCTTCCGGACACGGTACTTACTGCTCCGCATCCGACGGAAAGTTGTGCGCTGTATACGGTGGAGGCGGAAGAAGTGCAGGATTGTGTTTGTCCCCCCGAAAGGAACGCACTAGAAGCCACCCTCACGGCGACAGGCAGCGCTCGCGTCTCTTCTGAGATAGTACGTTGTAGAGGACTACGGCACAGTCAGACGTTTAGAGCATTTTTTGGGGCGGCAGCGTACCTCCTCCTGGTGATCCGCCGTCAGCAGATCATAACCTTGTCATGGCGTGAGGATCTGAGGAACCTTGCAAAGCCTGAAAAGGTATCGAGGTGCGCGCACCCCTACTTACATAGGGTTTCTAGCTCCTCCAGCCGTCGGGCGGCAGGAGTTCTCCTGATCAAGTCCTTATGTCGTTCCGGCAGTCAGCCCTCCTCTTCCCCAGTATCCCCTACGCCAGGCGCTCACCGCATAGAACCTTCGTTCTCTGCATGATGCGCTTCAGTCGTCGTCCTGTAGCTGCCCCTTAGGTTTTGCGCCATCAACACCAGCGCGCCTAGTGCCCACACTGCTACGGTCTCGCCGGTCTCGTGGAGATGTTGTCCTTGCTCACCGCGTTTTTCACCGTAATACGAATCGTCTGCATGACGTATCTTGTGGCTGGACACTGCCTGACGTGAATCGGCAGCAGGTAGGGCGAGAGTCGGCAACACCACGGATTTGCAAAGCCCTAGTGGTCTTGCCCTCTTCGATGGGCTCACCGCCTCCTAAATATTTTTGAGGAACACAAGAAGTTTTCCCGTCGGGGTGCCCCGCATGGGTGCCGTCGATTGCGGAAGCCCGGGAGAAGCGCTGCAGGGGCCGCATTAAAACCAACAGGCATTTATGTGGTAACGTACGCAGAATTCGGCGCTGTAGAGCGCAGGCGGGACCGTGCGTCGGCTGCGAAGCACCTTCTAGACGTATGCACCAACTCAGCTTAGCGAACCACGCCATCGCGACGCCCCACGCAATTCCACTAATCACCTGACTGTCCACCTTGCGATCTTCCGTCACCATTACCGTGCTCAGCTGCAAGCACTTCCTCGCGCCTCAATTACATGAGGGTAAGTCCTCGGTCTCGTTCGACACCCAGTACGTCAACGAAGGCAGCGAACACCACCAGGCGCCAACCTCTTTATTGTCCGTTTTTTGCATTTCCCCTCTTTCGACGCTGAGTTTTTCGGCAGTCAGCACTTTGGCAATGGCGCTCGTCACTCTGCATAAGCAGTCTCGTTCCCGTGTCCCCACCACACTAGCCAAGCAAGATCGTAAATCAGTCCGCAAGGCTCCACGCCACACCATACACTGCAGAAGGACATCGCTGAACAAGACGCCAATACCGGCATTATGCGTCGCAGCTGCCCACAGGGAAGGCGCCCCCCGAGGTGGGTTTGCAAGGACCCTCGCACGTTCATTGGCGGCGCCCAGGATCCCAAATCAGCGAGCAACAAACTGCCATAACCGACACATGACCGAGGGTCTCTAGCTCGCCTGGTTGCGGACAGCTAGTATTTTACCTGCGTGCATCGAGCTGTTCTGACCCACGCGACACGTGACCGGAGGAGTGGCAACAAGCACACCAAGTGAGTCTGGCGACCCTGGCCGCCATCAGCGTCGTCGTGCCGGCCTCGAGGACCCTTCGAGAAGTAGGCTGCGTGCACCAGCTTGTTAGCGTTGGCCGCACTACCAATTATTCCACGTCACCAGTGCAAAGATTCCGAAACCCGATACTGTAGCGTGATGCCCGCCGCACCGCAGCCTCCGACACCTAGGAGAGGACAGAGAGACTAATGTGTTGGACCACACCGAGTTACAAACGCAGCAGAATAGTGTGCAGGCAAGAGTGCATAAAAAGCCGCGATTCCGTCAAATGTCGGGGAGTGAAGGACGCCGGCCGGAACGCGTCACTAGAGACGGAGCTCGCGCTACGTCCGCAACTACGTACACGCTGGGGACTCCGTCTTTGACTCCCTTCGGGACGTGTGAACACCACCATTGCGCAACGGCGGCGCAAGGAATGGCAGCGACTCTCGTAATCATTTTTCCACTTCCTCGCGTATTCGCGTACTACGCTGCACGGCGCCACCCCCCAAAAAAGACACGCTACTACTTTGATGCCGATACACCGCATTCTCTCCGAAGCTGCCCACCCTTAGCCACGAAAACCCTCAGTGCAATCCCCGCTACACGGCGTTCGTGCCTCAGCCGTTCCGCGTGAGCGCCGACCCTCTACCGCCCTCCCTCGAAGAGCTTGTCGTACCCGGCACGCGCCTCAGTCACTCCTCTACTCACCCGCAGGGTCGCGCCGCCTCCAGAGGAGCCCCGCGTCTCGAGGCTCAGCTGCAGTAACGCATCGTGCTGGCCTTATGTAAACCCGGATATGGGGTCCTCAAGAGGTGGCCACAGCCGCTCTTCTCCAGCCTTTTCCGACCTGAGAGCAGCTTCTCTTCAGCGTGTACCAACATGACAAACGCAACCTGCATTGCGTAACACAGGGCTCGCGCGCGGAAACCACGGGTCACAGCCTCGGTTGCACTTACACACTTGGCATGTGGTACCATGCTTTTCCGCCACGTGCCTAAAAGCTGCTGCACGGTGTACAGTCACATGGTGGTGGTCTTTGCAGACTGGCTAGGTTATTTTTCGTCGGATACCTGTACCTGTACTTTGATTGCACTTACCCGCTTCAGGTTCAGAGCCATGGGTTTTTCCGATCCTTTCCAGTCAGCTAGACAGGATCTACAGCCACTCGGGAAGAAATTGTGCATGCTGATAACTCGTCGTCGAAGTCGCGCGTCTGTCGGTGAAACATACTTACTTGCTTGCATGCAGTACGGCTCCTTTTTCCCGCTTACTTTTCACAGGCCCGCCCGGGATGTACAGCGTTTCGGTCAGCGTGCCCGCGTAGCTTCCACAACGCAACCTCTACCCAGCAACCACTGGTGGTCCATGCCGTACAAGACTTTGCATATGCCTGATTGAAACGGAAGCTGTCGTTAGGTGGAATACTATTCAGCGGGGGGTCGGTCACAACTCATATGCGATGGCACACTGGTAACGTAAACGGTGGTGCTCATCATCGTCACCAGTCGGCGGGTATGTCTGCCGCATCCGAGCATCCAGGCAAAACTGCACACGCACGGCACGGTCCTTCTTCGGGTCACGGCGCTCCCCATTGATGATATGGGTCCTTGCCCAGCCGCGTACTTCTCAGGGCTGTAAACGTAGACTTCTCCTGTAAGATCACTGCTGTACTGGCAGTGGAGACCTCACAGCGTTCGCCGACTCCTTACAAGATCTTGCAAAGGAGAGTGACGCAACTAGTGCCCGCCGCGTTCGAGACGCGCAGCTCCTGTTTCAGCGGCAGCGCCCACGACGTCTAACCACGACATCGAGACATCGGAATCGACAGAGCTGACATTAGTTCCCGCCCGCACTAGGACTACAAATTCGCATCCTTCCCGCCGGAAACGGGGGCCACTTCGCAGCTCACGAGACAAGCGTATACAACCGAGGGGCTAGCGTCTGCATTAACGCCGGTTGGCTGTTTTCGCTGCCTGCATTAGCTCTCGGCCCCGTCGTGTACCGTGGCACGCCCGGAGATCGATCTCCGTTCGGCAAAAAAGGCGGCGTACTCTCTCCAGCTGGTTCACCAATGTGAGGGCGCGAGTAACGTGGTCCAAAGGTCCCCACGCATTGTTGGCCCCCGCAGTGCGCCCGGAATGTTCACAACCATGTCAGAAAAGCAGTGGAGGTCTTAGCATGGCGCCTCGCGCGCACACTCCGCACTGCACTCTCTACGCCTACGCGCCTCCGGCACTCAGTTCCTCCCGTCTTCCCGCCTCTCTTGCGCTGCTCACGGGAACTGTAATATCCACCCGCTCTACGTGACCCCACCGGCTCTTTCTTGCGCCGCGCCGCCTCCGATGTTCCGTCCGCAACACCAGCGCATTACACATGCGCAGGCCCATGCCTCGCCGGTCGCCCATCGTAAATACACACCTCTCATGTTCTGGCTGACACCACGGTCGGCGTCGTCTGCATCCTCCTTCCTCCCGCTGCTCATTGTTCGTCGTAGATGCCGACCAGGCACACTTGGAAGCGGAACGGGAGTGAAAGCAGCTTTCTGTGGTGTCCTCACCTCCTCCTAAATGGTGTACGACAGGACCAGAGCCATCCTCCCCCACGGCCCTGCGCACGGCTGCAACCGAAAGCTGAAGCCTTACGGCAGGAGCCTCCAAAAGCCCAAAAGATGACTGCGGCGGCCAGCACGCTGTTGGCTGCTTACCAAAGCACATATGTCGCCGCTCAGGCACTCGCCAGAACGAGCCAGTGCTATATATATCAGACTTGGAGCACAGATTTTGTGTCAGCACGCCGCCTGACGCACCCTTCCAACGCATTCCATTGTCCTATCTCCCGACACGAATGCACAGTTCGACTTGCGCCAGTACCCACGTTTTTTGTTTACACTAGGCAGCACCGCTCCCCTCCATCCGGCACGTCTGCCTTTTACGAGGAAAGTGGTAGCGGCCAACGCGGAAGCCCTGCGGTCGTCTGCATCAGGCATTCCCTCCGGCTCGAGTACCGCGATCCCACCGAGTTCAAAGCGCGGTGCTACCTCTCGTCCACCTAAGCGGGCACACTTCGTCCACTTTACGTCTTCCCAGCTGCGATAGTCGACCAGCGCTCCAGCTCACTTCTGAAGGCGCAAGCGCCATGTCACACCTGACCCTGAAGAAGGGCGCAACCCGTCACGATGACGAGGCTCAGGTTCTGCGTTGTGATCGCCACAGAGAAGACACTGTCTGCCTCTCCTTCGAGGTAGCGCTGTGTGAGTACGACGGCCTGAAATGTGCAGCGTTGTAGCGTTCGCAGTGCCACGATCTCTTCCCCGTCGTCAGCACGCCGATAGCTGGGACGCAGAATTTACCGGCGCGTCCGGCTTGTCACAGTCTTATAAGCTCCCTTCTCTGCGGCAGTCGGAGGAGAGGATGCTGTTGTACCATACCCAATGAGAAGCCCATTAGAGTAGCCTATGCAGGCGGACAAAGAGTGCGCGGGCAGCCGAGCGTCCGGCGGGTGGGGGACGCTGGAAGATACTGAGACATCCACGTTCCGTCTGGCCCTAGACGTCTCAAAGCTGTCGTGCCCACCGGCTACATGGTGAAGTGGAGCCAAAATCGCAACCACCGTCCCAGAACTGGACCTTCCTTTGGAGGGCCCAATCCAGTTGCACACTGTAGCGCACAGCGGTCCTTGCAATGACGCGTCCAGATATCCGTCGGTCACAAACGCCACCGTTGCAAGGTCTCTTCGGCGGCCTTCTCCTAGCAGAGATTCGGCCCCATCGCAGCCTTCGAGCTGCCCTTCAGCTAGCGCTGTAGTCACGCTGCGTATACGGCACTGTCACACCACGTATTCTTCTACGCGGTGGCACCGCCATGAATCGAGTCTGGCCCGGCGCGCCCTTATGTCAGCTGCAAGGTACCGCGCTGGCCTTACGCGAAGTCGAAGGTGGCCCCCGCCGCGGTGATAGCAGACTCTAGCCTCGGTATGTGCGCTCCTCGGCTCTCTGCAACGGCTTCCGTGACACACGTCTGGACGATAGATCCAGGGGGTGTGCCTCACACTGCGCTCGCCCGGGGGACCTGCACCCAGCGTGTTCAGTTCTTCTTACCCTCTTTAAATTTGATACCGAGCCATATATCCCGAGTACTAAGAGGACGCGCACAGTACAGCGCCAGCTAAGAAAATGTGCACATGGCCATCTAATATCTCGTCACAATCCTGTATCCACTCGCTCGCTATACTTACCAACTGGGCGTTCGCACTGACGCCTTTTCCGGAGTGGTCTCAGGCGCTTGCACTCTATGTACGGTCATTCAGCCAGGGTATCTGCATGTTGCCATTCTTTGGTATTTCTCCTCTACTGAGCAACCCCGGTGCTTCTGGCCTTGCACTACCATCCAGGCGCCTCACCGACGGACGCTGATCCGCGCCTTTGAAGCGCACATCACCCACGCGGCCGTCCGTATACTCTCTGGTGGGCTCCTCGGTGCTGCAGTCTACTGCGCCGAAGTGAATCAATAGTGATGCTCGTCGTCCGCACTCAGCATACCTGCTGCCTCTAGACGCCGGGGAAAAGCAACGCGTGACCTCCACTTCCCGTACTCGGCTATCGGCGCTTCTCAGTGCCAGTACGATTTCTTGCGGAGGCTTCTCGCGTTTCTCGTTTGAACGTAGAAACTTGAAGCGAAATGGCTGCTGCAGGATCGCAGGGCAGACACTGCCTGCGGCTACTGCCCTTAAGTGGCTCAACGCCGTATTAGGGTCACACGGGGCGCACACGCCTCTCTTGGCCAGCATACCGCACGCCATAAGATACACGAGATCAGTAAGCCTGCATTGTCGGCCCGGGGAGACTGGTCCCTTCTAAGTAGAGCTCTGCAAAAACTGCATCGGGCTGGTGGACAACAGACGCGAATCCACAGCACGCGATTTGGGTCTATCGGACGATGGACGTGGTGAGAGCCATGAGGGCGGTAGGCCACCTTCTACTTCTCCCTCTGCTACAACTTTCCTACCAGATGCAGCCGAAGGCGAAGAGCACCTTCCTCAGCGCCTAGCGTACTCTCTCCTGCTGATGCAGCAAGGTCCGAGCACAAGCACACGACGTCCCGACGCACCAAGGCATGTCTCGTATAAGGATAGTGCGTCGCGGGCGCCGACGTAAAGAGAGGATTGATTGCTCCCCAAGAAGCGCTCTTGTACGTGCTCCCTGCGACGCACTCTCTACATCAACACGTCCTGTGCATTCGGTCTCTTTTCTCTCACACGGTCTCGCATCCGCTAGCCACGGTGAGAAAAAGCGCTTCGGCTTTGCATGGTACAGTAGAGACTTCGTTCCGCAGCGCCTTCACCAGCCGCGCCTCCCGAGTGCGGCCATCAGCACCGGCACAGTTTACGTATACATACACACGTTTCACGGATCCCTTACTGCATACGCATCTCTCGCGTTTCTGTTGACACCATGGTGAGCATCTCCCACATCATTTTTCGTGCGCTGCCCATCGCCCCGCGGAGATAAAATGCAAGCACAGAACCACGCGGCAGTTAATCCGAAACGCCACATATCTTACCACGCTCCATAGGCAGATTCGTTCTTGGCGCGCTTACCTCCTCCTGATTGTTATACAACCACGCATGGGCGGTCCTTCCCCACAGTCGTGAACGTCTCCGCGACAACATTAAACGCTCTCCGGAAGGGATGCCTGAGCCGACAGAAAGCCACCGAATTTTCACAGCGGTGAGTACGCAGTTGCCCGCGTACTACACCGCAGTGGGGGGGTGTCCGCGTCGACGCACCACTTGCAAACCACTCGCGCTACCTATATCATGCGCAGAACACACTAATGTTGTGTCCTCCTGCCGCTTGACGCCCTCGCCGAACCCGGGCTACCGTGTTCTCTGCAATCTTGCGCTGCAACGACAGGACTCCCGGGGGACCCGGCCACCGGTACGTCGACTACAGAGAATGCGCGCCTTCCCTGGGTCAACTCCATCTAGCTTTCCTCAGGCAGCTCGTACGACCAGAGGCAGAATCCTCGAAGTGTCAGCAGTGCGCCTTCCCTTTGCATCAGCTGCCTGGCTCTCAAGGACTTCAGACGGCGGTGCTGCCCGTGTCCTTGTCCTTGCAGGTGTGAACTCTTCATCTCCCTTTCCCTCCATTCTCCGCTGTGCCATCCAAACTGATGTATATACATATATATATATATATATATATATATATATATATATATATATGACCCGCCGCGCAAGGCGCCAGCGCTGCGGTATTCCTTTCTTGACGCTCAAGTTCTCCGCGCGAGTCGCCACGGACAGGACGCTGAGTATGCTATCTGACGTGGAAGCTTCTTTGCAAGGGCAGCCTCGGAAACCATCCTGTCAGACGTATCAGTGTATAACCGCCGTGCACAGCCGAGGGGCTTGGTTCTCCCGTCCGCTTGTGTACATACCCGCAAATTTTTGTCTCAAGCAGTTTGAAGTAACAACTGCGTGAAGGGGGGGGCAACAAGCACATCGGTCGTGGTTGAACTACCGCGCTGCTGAACGTCTGCCGTTGTTGTCAACCCGGCAACGCGCGAGAAGAGGACGCAAATAAATCTCTTCCGCGTCGTGAGGGCACCGTGGACAGAGAACGACAATGTAGCGCCGTCTCCGCCTCGTTGCAGCCTGGAACGGCTTTTCTTTTTCCGTCCTTGTAGGCAATAATGCTGTAGTATGATAATTTGCGTAGAGCACGTTACAATAGCCTGTGCGGGCTACGCAACAGTGCCGGGAAATACGACAATGCTAGAAATGCGGCTGTTTGAAGGAGACAGGGCGCACGACTCTAGCATCAGAAAAACTCTTCACCCAGTCAAGCTTTCACGCACATATCGAGGCATCCATGTGTCGCTTGCCCGTCTATGTCTGGATTTCCGCGCCTTTCCACCCGGCGCCCTGTGACCGGAAACGGAATCCGCAATGCCCACCGCAGAAACTATCCCTGCCTTGTAATGCGCAGGCCGATTGCACACCCAGTCGCACTAAGAATCTTTCGATGATACGTACGCGTGTCCGCCTCCCCAAGGCGTCAAGCGTCAGCAACAAGCATCTCCGCCGCACTGTCCGATCAACGGCTTTCCTTTGTCAGACACCGCCGACCGTCGCAGCCTTCGCGTCGTCCTACAGCAGCCGGATTAGTCGTCCTCCGTACGTCGTTCCTTCACACCCGTATTCTTCTACACGGTGGCACCCCTACCACTCCTGGGGACTATGCCAGGCTCGTCTCTCAGCTGCGACGGATCGCGCCTGCCTCGTGCAGAGTCGAAGGTAGTCTTTGTCGGTGGTCACAACAGCCCCACCTCTCGATGGTTGCACGCCGTCCACCGCTGTGCGCGGCGGCTCTCCTAACATACGTCTAGATGACAGACGCAGACTGGCGTGCCTCCCACGCTGGTCGGGCGTGGGACCCACAGCCCCCCCCCCTCAGTTGTGCTTACCCGCTGCACAATCGGCGCCGTACCGTTCTGCCAGTTATTTCAAAAGACGAGCACGGCAGACAGCGTCTCAAGAAATTTGCAGACGTGCTGCCGTTCAATCTTCTCGCGGAACATGTATCCATTTTCAGATGCACCTACCCGCTTGACGTTCGGTTTTATGCATTTCTCCCGACCTACTTATCGCACTCGCACAGACTGTACAACCGCTCCAGCCTGGTACCCGCGTGCGTGTCTAAGCCAGCGCCCTCAACGCCTCCCTTGTTCAGTGACCCCTAATGGTGAAGCCGTATGCTCCACTCTAGCCGCGTTACTGTCGCTGACGCGGAGCCGCAGCTCTCAAGTGCACCTCATTTGCAACGGTGTCAGCTTCTCTTCAGAGGTACCCCCCGCCACTCACGTCTGCCACGCTGGGGAGCATATATAGTGTTGCCTGTCGCCAGCACTTGGTATACATGTCTGTCGCCTTTGGAGATCAACGGCGTGTTGCGCGCAAAGGGCAGAAGTATGTCGGGTACCTGCCGCTTCTATCCTTCAGGACGTTTGAGCAAGAGGTACGCAAGTACCCCACCGTGAGCTGCAAAGGCGCACAGTTCTGGTTAGGCCTGCATCATTCGTAAAATTGAAGCCAAGAAATCTGATATATTATAGCGTCGGTGCCTGAAGACTGATACCGGGTCAGAGCCAGCAGCAGAGGGGGGTCACAGCGTGCGATGTCAGCCTGCGGAACGGAGCACCCAACAGCCAGCACAACCGGGGTAGACCTCCTTCCGCTCCTGCCTCAGCCGTGAGTCCTTCGTGCAATGCCACATGGAAAGAGTGTCGCCCAGAACCGTGGCGTACTCCCTTCTGCTGCTTCGCCAACACCGGAACACAGGCTGTGGTGTCTCAAAGCTCTGAAGCACCTTCCGGGCCCAGCGACGCGCCTTCAAAGCCAGCAGCTCTTATAAGTGTGGGAGTCGTACAACGTTCTAAGGAGAACGCCAGGAATAGGAAGCCAGGAATCCACACCGAGCCATGATGCCATAAGGGAATGTGCCTTCACAACTAATGCGGGTGTTCGCAGGTAGCGCCCGCACTAAACTCTTCGCCCGCAGGCACGTGCAGCAGCCAGTCTCTGCCCAGCCCCGGTGTTCTCGTCGCCTGTGGCGGGCAATACAATCCGCTCCTGCTATGAATGGTACAGTCCGGTCTTCCTCGTCTTGCATATCCCTTAGCCGCGCCACCTTCACTACCTGGACCGCTGACACCATCACACGGGACCTGGACATTACTGCCTTCTCGCCCATGTCCTAGGAGCATCACCCTTTCTCAGTTCTATTGTGACCGTACAAAGCATCGTCTACTTGAGTTCATCCGTGGCTAATCAGTGCTTGACATAGCTCGGCAATGTGCAGGGGAAACCGACGGCAAGCGTCTCGCAAGTATCCAGGCGTACAGCGCTCCTCGGGGTGCTTACCGCCTCCTAAACAGTACGCGGCCACGCGAAAACTGTATCCGTCGAAATCAGTTCGGGGCTGTGCAGACGAACGCCACATTTTCATAGAAGGAGCGCAGCAGCATCATAGAAGCTGAGAAACCCTGAGGCGAGTGAGCGTGCAGAAGTCTGGGAAACAGATACATGTGTAGCCTTTTGCGCATCATTCACAGACCGAGCCCGCGACCTACGTCGTATACGGCGCGCACTAATGCCGTGTCAGAATGCGGCTTGGCTACGCTTTTTCGGCTTTGCTCTCTGCCGTCTTTCGTCAACCCTGAGATATTCAGCTACCGGCGTTACCGTGACCTCGGCTATATCACAGTGCTCCCTCAGCCTCGATCAACCGCGCCTGCCTCTTCTGAGTCAACTGATACGACCAGACGCGGAAACGCTCTGGCTGCTGGCGTGGTCAATTTTCTTTCCATCCGGCGCCGCAATTTCAGCACGCTTATAGCTTGTTGCTCCCTCTATGCTCTGCAGATATGCCCTTGTCGTTCGCCTGCGCCCCCCTGCCGCACCCGTCCAGCAAGTTCCTGCCCCGAAATTCGAGGCACCACGGCCCTCCTTACGCCGCAGAAGAACATAATGCACCAGGAACACCATGCCTGTGCTCTGCGCCTCAGCCGCCCCGGAGAGGGCATTGTCCGACATGACCTCGCATGATCCTGGAGAGCTAGCTACTGCAGCCATGTTCTAAGCGAACGCGGCCAGATACTGTCGTATTAGTGTAACCGCCTGGAGCCTTTGCCGCCGTTGTTGCTCGCTTTGGAGGTTGCTCAATGCAAAATCAGGAGCACTTTGAGTCGGGGGGATGCGCCTCGTCGCCGGGTGTCGTCGCCTCAGCGCTCATGCGAGAAGACCCACCGCGCGCCCCGCCGTTACAGCTTTCTCGGTTTCGTCCTTCCCTGTTGGTAGCCACTGCACTGGTCTCACACAGGAGTTTTATAGCACAGCCACGCCTTGTCGCAGCCTCGGAGGTCCTCCTCTTTTCGTTGGGCCAGGCACTTTAGACGTGCTCGACCGAATGAGAAGCACATCAGTGTCGCCTGTGTGGAGCCGCCAACAGCGCGAAAGGGCGAGCTCCGGGAGGAGGCCGAGGGTGGAAGGCTACCCGGCGCGAGGGCTAAGCCTGAATATGCGTTCCCCAATGTCAGGGTTTCAGGGACAGACTGAGGCACCCGTGTCCGCTTCGGGTGGACGTGCGAATATCTTTCGCCGCACTCTGACTCAATTGTGAATCGAAGCAGCGTTAAGATTGATCAATCCAGTATGAGACCTTGCCTTTTTCGTTCGCAGGACGTGTTGCACAGCGCAGCAAACTGCCACTGATTCAACGCTGCACAAACAAGTCATTCTAGTCGCAGTCGTTGCCCTTCAGTCGCGGACGCGTGCCCTGCGAAACCACTCGACGGCTTTCCACAAGATGGCCTTTATCACGACATTCGCTAAGGCCCCCTAGGGAATAGAGCGCCGCCTTCAGTGGTCGGCTCCTCTGCGTCCTAATCTCGGCAAGCGGCCGCACGCACATTGGACCGATCTCAGCTTTCACCTTGATCTTCTCCTCGGACTGCGACGGACCGCGCCGTCCTCAGACGTTTCCAGCTGGCGTGTCCGGCACCGGCAGTGATGTCGTCACCTCTCCTTGTCTCCGGATTCTTTTCTGTGTGCACGAACGCTCCTCGGAAACACTTGAAATCACATCCCGGCTGTCTTGCCTTATCCCTCCCTCTCTCGTGGATACCACCGTTAGTGCCGTCGGCAAGACTTACAGACTTGAGAGCCGGTGCGGTGTCTTTCTACCAAGTCGTTTGTGGCCCCGGCAGGGCATTCAGTGGCGGTAAACGCAGACGTGATCATGACATCCCTCGCCAGCACCGTGCAGTTTTCCCATACCGGAGCCCTCGATACCCTCTAAAGGCTTCGCTTTCACTGACGCATACTCGCACGCTGAGAGCCCCCTCTCCCTTCGCCCGGCCCTCTATGCCTCCGCGACAGATTCAGTGACCACGGCCGCCAACCGGAGCACATGGCGCTGCTCACTGACGTCACGCCGTGGCCGCATATGGCAGCTGTCAGCGCTGGGGAGAAATCAAGCAAGCTCGTCGCGCCCTCTCGGCGGCGCTCTCCTTCTCACCCTCGGGCGGCGCTCCCGGCCAGTTTCCGTGCCTACCCCTGTCTGAAAACTTGCGTCATTGTTATGTCGTTACCCACGCTGGTAGAGGGTAGCTGCCTCCACGTGCCGTCGCCACATTTGCCTTCTAACCGTACAGCGAAGACAGAAATGCAAGAACAAAAGTTGCAGAGCTAATGCACTACAATATGCAAAGTGTCTACTTGTCTCTTGTTTTAGCAGACCTCAGAGAGCCATATAGGATAGCGTCTGCGACCTTCACCACTGGTGCCGAGAAAACCAATTCTCGCCACAGCCGATAGCAGGGAGTCTCATATTGTCCTTGGGTATCAGAGGCAAATTTAGCGTGCCGGGCGAAAAATTCAGCGGTTACGCTACGCCGGTACAGCCCAGGCCGAGGAGCGTTTTCAGCAACTCCTATCGTACTCCCTGCTGCCGGTACGCCTATATCGGCACACAAGGACATGGGTCTGCGACGCTCGTAGGCACTCGCGCTACCTACGCAGTACACCCAGGTGCCTATGTTCCTCTTTAGCATGCGGGTAGTAGCTCCCTTATGCTTGGCGGTCTAATGCGGAAGTAACAGCGCTAGGACACGTAAAAAGTACGATACACCATCGCTCGGCAGGAACAAACAAACAAGATGCATTTTCTCCGCAACGCCCACCGGCCTTCGATACGTCTCTAGCATTTGCACGTTATCCGCGTCCGGACCCAAATGATCGCCCTCCTGAAAACATAAGCCCTTCTCGCTCAACATTGTACAACTGCTTCCTTCTTCTGTACGTTCTTTAAAAATGCCACCACCCCGCTCGGCAACAGCAGTAGCAGTGCAGCGCAAATACCACATTAGTATCCTGTCGTACTTAGTGGGTACTCTCTTCCCTAATTGCGCTTGACATACGCATGAGCATTATCTACATATGCTTGTTCTGCCTGCTCACTGCGCCGGCGCACAACAGCACTACGCAGGACTCGGCTAGGCAGAACTCCAAAGTCCGCTAAGCTTTCGCAAATCTCCAGCTCTGGAGCTCATCTTGTTTTGCTCACCTCGAGCTGGAAGACGCACGTACGCATTGGGCGTTCGACCCCGGCCTCTCGCCGCGCACGCAGTAGCCTTACAGAACCCCTGCGGGGACCGCAGTCAAACTGAATAGGTACTGACTGCCGCTTGCACGCAATATTATGCCTTGTTAGGCGCAAGTGTGTCGCTCGGCACAGCTGGCGCACCGTCCACGAAACGCACCGGTACACGCAGCCAGCCCCATCACAGTAAGCTGTGCAGCAACGCCGCTGGATGCAGAATTCACATTCTGTTGACTGCAGCGGTTCTTGCACTACAGCACTCAGATACCAGCACTAGCCTGTCCTGCGGTCATACTCAGATGCTCCCTGAGAATCAGCAGAGTCCTTCCATCTCGTTGGAGCCGTCAGCCAGACCTGATCGTGCTTTTGTTTTCATTGAGATTTCACTCCTTCTGTTCAGCCCATGTGCTAATCATTCAGACGCCGCTTCCAAGTGTTTACTCGCTTATAACAGTGAAGGGGGGGGAACTACGCCCTATCCTTTCACACACTCTCTATACTGCCACCGTAGGTCCGCAGGCAACGGGTCCAGTGCACGCGGTGCCAGGCCGCACCGCGCTGTTGCAGCACAAAATAGGTCAATGGGTCGTTGCCTCGGTCCGATACTACTACTGACGTCGCCGCTCGCAGCGTTCCGCGCTATGCTACTCCCGGAGGCTCAGCATCTTGTCCTGTCTGACCTTTTGAATTTGAAGCATGCCGGGTACAGCTGAGCGGCACACACGTGCAGAACACACTGCGCAGTCTACCAGCGATTGTATTGGCTCGGCCTTTGCAAAGTCCAGCGGTACACCTCGCAGGCAGCGTCTCTGTGAGATGCTAAAGGGGATTTGAATACCGCGCCAGAGGAGTTTCGTCCCACGACAGCTGTTGATGCCACGCGGATCCGGTGTACGTGCAGGGGATACGCTTTGCCAGCGTCCTCCTCAATTTATAAGACTCTGCTCCGTGAAGCACTAAGAGCGCGCAGCCCGTCTGCCTGGTAAGCTACGTTTCTAGGGCACTGCTCTCCCGTCGCAGAAACTAGAAGTCAAAGAGCGCATGTAGGCATACTTGTCCCCGCACGTGCATACGCATGTGCACGTCTACGAATGCTATGGACGATGAATGAAAACCTCGTCACAGTCCACAACCTCTGGGGATG